CCAGGAAAGGTCGCAAGGATGTGACCGAGCAGGATCTATTGATGGAGCCTCTGTTTTGGCAAGAACAGGTCAAGGTTCTCGCAGCCACGAGCCTGGCTTTTAGTGTATATCCCAAAACTATTGATGTCGATCGTCAGCGAGAAGAGATACAAGCGAGGGCTTCCGCTGTCAATGCCGCTCTTCTCAAGCTTTTACTCTCTCAGAAGGGTGTCATCGTAGTCGGTGAAATCATTGATGCCTTTGGTTATGATTTGTACGGTTCAAAGTATGTTCCAACTCTCGGCCTTGTTTCTTATGCTATATTCACATTGTCATCGACAGAGACGGAGTGGTCGAATACTCGCTCCTTTCGCCTTCCTCCGTTGAAGCTATCTACGACACTTTGGTCGTGTCTCTAGGTGGCCAGATACCTTCTCCCGTCTCTGCAAAAGTCGTCATAGAAGCGGTTCGAACCTGGAATAGACATTACGAACGCCTCGATAGTTGGATCAATCGCGAAAATCAACGTAGCCAACCGTAAGATGAGATCTTTGCCACTTGGTTCAACATGCCTGCTCATCGTTCACTTCACAGGGACTCGACTGTTGGCTTAACCAGCACTTCAACCGAAACGGCGGGTACACTAGATCCTGTGATAGAAGCAGTCCGCAATTCTTGGGAGCTACCCTCACACGAAAAGAAACTGCTTTCCTGTGTCGTGGATCCCCGTGAGTTACCTTCTAAAATCTCTGGATACCCACGTAACGTACCTAACACTAGGAACACTGTCCACTGCATTCCAAGATGTTTGTCTCGATCGGGGCGTCATCGAAAACCTTCGTTCTATTGTCTCACTGCCTCTTCTATATCCCCAACAATTCAAGACTGGGATCCTTTCCCGAGAGTCATTATCAGGTGCTCTGCTTTATGGGCCTCCCGGCACCGGGAAGACCATGGTCTGTCGGGCGCTGGCTTGCGAGAGTGGAGCTCGAATGCTGTTGGTTAAGCCTAGTGACGTTTTCAACATGTATGTTGGAGAGTCGGAAAAGTATGCCAAAGCGGTGTTTGTAAGGGAAATGTCACATTCGTCGTGTTCAGTTCTCACCCGTCGTTTCAGAATCTTGCGGAACGCCTGGCTCCATGCATAGTATTTATTGACGAAGTTGATTCTCTCTTCGGAGCTAGATGTAGCAAATCTGGTGGACGTGACGTCCATCGTGCAATGGTGAGTTTGTTAAGTCCCTTGTGACGACCATTGCACTGACCTCTAGACATAGCTCACCGAATTCATGCAATGCATGGACGGGCTTCAGAGTAAGGATAAGGGTATCATAGTCATTGGCGCTACCAACAGGGTAGGCGATGCAACTTGACTTGACGTTACCAGTTCTGACTCGCCTTTCCAGCCTTATGACCTTGATCCGGCCATCTTGCGGAGACTGCCTTGCCGAATGCTGGTTGATTTGCCAGATGAACATCAACGCAAAAGTATGTGTGCCTGACGATTTTAACTAGGGAGGATGCTCAAGTGCTCTATCAGATATCCTCCAAAGTCACCTTAAAGGGGAGCTCCTGCACGACATAGACCTAAGCAGGATCGCAACCCAAACTGAGGGATATTCCGGCTCAGACTTAAAAAGTGAGTCACGACGTCCGTGGGCCGGACAAGGCCATGTTTGGATGCTAACTGAACATCTGCTCTAGACCTATGTGTATCTGCCGCTATGGAAGGCCTTAAAGACTCCATTGGTGGTCTTGGCAGAAGTTCAGCGTTCGACTTCGATGGAAGGTCAACGGCAGCTGCAGCTGCGGACAAGTCCAATCACGAAGAGAAGCCTATACCACCCCAACGGATTATCAGAATGGATCATTTTTGGCGTGCGTTCACTCAGGTGACGGCTTCGTTCACCTTTGAAGGGAACAAGGAACTCTACGAATGGCACCAGAAGTATGGGTCGAATCCGGATGAAGTATCGCTCTTCGCCAAGAGGTGTCAGGAAGAGAACCTCAAGGGAAGCCCGCCTCCTAGTGGCAAGAGCGAGTACGGCGGAAACGTGAACCTGAACCGAATTCCTCAGGATCTCGCAAAATCAATGCTGACGTTAGCTTCCATGCTCTCTGGAATGTATAATTCCGGCTAGTATTACAATTAATTATTCATCGCTTTACTCTACTGCTCAATAAGAATAGGAATATACAGGATAGTGACTCCCGCCGGTATCGTATGACATCCCTCGCTCAGCTCCATACCGCCCAGAGGAATAAGCATCAAACCCGCGCCTCAGCGCGTCCTCAGCCACTTGGTGGTGACTAGGTCCGTCTTCGACTCCACGAGCAGTCATGTGGTTGGTGACCGCTTGTAACCCATACTTCAACATATACCTCGCTATCCGTCCCATCCTCCTATGCTCCTCTCCATCTCCCAACGTATGGTTCAATACTTGCTCCAAGCCATACTTCAACATGTACTCCGCCACCCGAGCAATCCCATTATCTTCTCCAGTAAGATATTTCTCGTCTATGAATCTGGACAAAACGCGTCGTATCGCTTCGAATGCCAGATCTGTTATCTCTCCGTTCGGACCTTGCACTTGGTATCCCCCTGCGCTACTGCTCCCACTGTAGATGCTCTGGCTTGGGCTATGAGAAAGTGGAACTACTGGTCCTGCAGAAGCCGAATCGTGATAGTCATAATCGTGAGGACGTCCATAATTATAATCTTCATCATCTGAATCGGAACCAAAGACTTTGTCGTAGGTATTGCTACCGTCTTGACTATAATCATGCGGGGCATAAGAGCTAGAACTCAAACTTGAGCTAGATTCGCGGCCGCTGTAGGTGTAGCTTCGAGGTGTGAGCCTCCCGCTTCCGCTACTTGGATGTCGGTGATGGTGATGATGATGGTGTCTTCCGTGGTGGTGGTGTCTCGGAACGACAGTGTAATATCCTGGAGGTTGTTCTCCGGGCATGACGGGAGCAGAACCATAACCAGGAAAACTGGAGTTACCTACTCCGGGAACGTAGGCTTCGGGGAAAGGTAACTGTTCCTGAGGAGATGAGGAGAGTACCATCGGCTCGCCTGTGGCTGGTGGATATCCGACTGCATACTGTTGACAATCAAACATATCATCAGCTTTGATTTCCCTCAGGTGTCAGAATCAATAGTACATACCACAGGCACGGATATTGGTTGTGGTGGGTAATACGACATTGCGGTAAAGGTAAAAAGGTTCAAAGAAATGACGATGCTCCGACTCCTTCTCGCCCTTTTGTATGAAGGGACTTCGGCTTGTACCGGTCATCCGCAGCACTGCATTTACAGCGTCAACGGAAGCGCCAAGCATGAGATCAGAGGTATTCCGAATAGGACTCGGAGGGGTTTGCTAGCGTTCGGACACGCACGGAGCCTGTTATAGCTCGTGAACCACAATAGACATACTGTGTCGGGCTCGCTTGAATTGTTTGGAGAGTTTTGAGTGGGCCTACATATGAAACTATCTCGGGATGAAGAACGCGAAGTTACAGGAAGATGAGAAGCATCGGTGCTCGGAAGTCGGATCCGTGATAGTAGTCAGACGGCGCTCCACGGAAATGATGGATGAGTACGAGTACTACATAGCACTGCTATATACATTGGTTCATGAATTCCACCTCTACCAAGACCTCTACATGACACACACTGGTGTACACCCTTTTTGAATCTCGTGAAAAAACAGCCGGAATACAGGCAGAAGCTCTATACCCGTCTAACAAGTAGCCTTGCCCCACGCATACCGACTCCCAAAAACAGAAGAGAGCTAATCCGAACCATCCTGCAAGGCATCTGACAATGATGATCTCCGTCCCTTGAACTCTGCCCTGACCGGCGCAGGAACCCTTTTCCGGCTTCTTCGACGAGGCAAGGCGCCTATTCTGGGCTCCAAGTCGCCTTTTGGTGGTATTTTAACTCGGCCAATAGGCTTTGCAGCCTCAAAAGCAATCGTCAACTGATATCCTCTTCGCTCTCCGAATGAACCAGAATTTGATCGAGCTCTGTTGAGGTGATAGTGGTTATTTGGAGGCGGAAGTGGGACCGCAGCTCCTGAAGGCGGCCCCGAGGTGAAGTATGAATGGGGTAACATGTTCATGGGTGATGCGGGCGTGGAAAGCGTGGAGATCGAAGGTGCGGAGGATAGCGACGTGATTTGTTCGATGATCATGGTCGACGATGAAGCAAAGTTGTAGTCGGAGTCGTAAAGAGACATGACAGAGATGGCAGTCGTGTTATAAGTCGTGGACTGTCCTGTGGTTCTGATGGCTGATTGTGAGTGTTCTGATAAAAGTGGTTGACAATGGGCTATTGTTGCTCCAGGATCCGGATATTTATATATCTGGGTTTGAGATGTATCTTCCGCGGAGTGCCAAAGAAGTTAAACATGACTCTTCCATTCCTCAGGCATTCAATAGTACCCAGTACCCAGTATTCATTAATGGCAGAGATCGAGAATCCTAGCCTGTGGTGCTGGTATGTTTACCGCGCTTGAAACAGTTCCAAGGATAGAATACGGTGGCATTGACACGCATCGATCCCTCTGGGGGTGCATTCAAACGAGATGGGTGCCTTCGAGCACCTTTGAGCGGCTGTGAACACCTGGTAGAAGTCAGACAGCACGCTAGCAGATAGTGAATCACAGCGAAACAACATATCAAGTTTCGTGCTATCGACGCCCGGAACTCGTGTATCCCATCCTAAGATCAATATGCAAGTATCCTGAAGGGGTGATTCATGAATAGCGAGTGCTGAAGCTGTACTGAACAGCTGCATGTCGTGCTAGAACATGGTGGTCTTGGAAAAAGCTGTACATTACCATGCTGGTACCTCGTTTCCTTTTTTCTTTTTCAGGCAAAACACGACACAAAAAAACATAAGTATCGGGGCATGAGCAAGAAAGCTATTTGAAGATCTGCGAAAGACTCTGGCTCTAGATCTTCTCAAGTAATGGAATCTGGTATTTCGAGCCAACAGGTACCAGAGAAAAATATACACCGTTCGGGAATCGAACCCGAGCCGCTTGCTGTAACCAAACAGTGGAAGGCAAGCATGATAACCACTTCACCAACGGTGTGCGATTTTGAGTCATCCATTAGTCGTGGTCATTCCAGTTTTTTTTTGCTTATTTGCAGTAGCAAAAATAATTCAGTAAGCTCTGTTCTCTACCCCCATCTTCTCAATCATGGCTCCTGTAAAGCCTCAAAAGTCGTCGAAAAGGAAGCTAGCTGAAGATCAAAGTCCTTCAGAAACTGCTACACGAAGCAAAAAGGCAAAGTCTACCAAGTCGAAAAAGTTACCTTCTCCGGATCCTCAGTCTTCGCAATCAGAACCGGAAAAGGTAGACGAGGAGGAGGAACAAGAGGAGGAGGAAGATGAGATCCCATTGCACGGTCTTACTAGCGATGAAGACTCTTCGGACGATGATATGGAGGAACCTGAGGGGATTGACATAGGAAAACTTCCAACTATTGCAAAGGATGATGCGACGGTGAAAAGGAAACTTGAAAAGGCAAAGCGCCAGCCAGTACGTGCCTTTTTATATCTCTTGGACTCGAGTTCATTATGTCCTCAGACAGAGAACCGCGGTGTCATATATCTTGGCCGTCTACCGCACGGGTTCTATGAGGACCAGCTAAAGGCGTATTTCTCTCAGTTTGGAGATGTGACGCGGTTAAGGGTTTCTCGGAATAAGAAGGTACGTCTTTTATACGTGTCTTTTTAATTACTTTCTTTACCGAATTGCACAGACTGGCGCTTCAAAGCACTACGCCTTCCTCGAATTCGAGTCTTCCTCTGTCGCACAAATTGTCGCGGAAACAATGGACAACTATCTTCTCATGGGGCACATACTACGCTGTAAAGTCATCCCCAAAGATGAGGTTCACCCAGAGTTATGGGTCGGTGCTAACCGCAAGTGGCGAGTCGTACCTCGAGACCGTGTTGCTCGCGTCGAACAAAACAAGGCAAATGATCTACCATCCATCTGTTCTCGTCACCCTTCCCCACTAACCTGTACTTTCCAACACAGCCTCGGACAGAAGAGGAACAAGCGAAAGCTAACAGACGTCTCATCAAAAGACAAAAGCAGAAACAGCAGAAACTGGAAGCAGCCGGCATCAAGTATAGTTACGATGCTGTCGCCTATGTGAGCGCTCTCCTTCCTAACACCACCCCGTTTTACCCTGTTGACGACTACGAACAGAAAAAGCCAGTGGTGGCTACATCCTAGCTGTCCTACGACGGACATAGACCTCAATGTATCTGGTTTTGTATATATTATCCCCTATACAAAATCTTGAGATGCAATCCACACTTCATGCTTGTCATGTATGCTCTGACCGCGGTATCACCGAAGATACAGAAACAGCAACTGATGAAGAAAGTCATTTGCGCCCATCCATCTACAGCTGGTCGGATCTTCCTCCGAATGACGAACGACGAGCTCCAGTTCCAATAGAACGGTCGTCCGTCATCTCCTCGCTGTACACAATAACTGATGCCGCCAAAGGATCTGCTTGGCGTTGCCGGGCCTGTAGTCCCCATTGGCCATCGTCCCCATGTTTCACCATTGGCTGCGCGCTTTTTTTGTAGCCGACGCCCATAATCCATCTCACTGCCACCTTATTGAACCCTGGATAAAATCAATACTTAGCTTCCCCTGAGTTCATTAGCCTCAGAGTGGCGTAGAATCCTTGACACTGACACATCGTTCGGCTCCTTCGGTGGTTGCTAAGTCCCAGTGGTGATCGGTTGCTGTTTCGGTTTTTCTCGAGGTTTTTCTGCTACCACATATCTATCTGATGGCGCCTTTGTGACCCGATGCAGATACTTAAAACAGACCGATGTGACAATGCACAAGGTCTGTTGTTCTGCCCGCTTCTTTTCCGCCCTTGACCTTGACGTTCTCGTCGCTGGCGAGGAGATGCCTGATCATTCCAGTGTGGTGAGTTTCCTAGCTTTTTGCAAGCGTTTATTGTATTGCTCATTGGGTTCGCCAATAAAGGTATTTCAACCACTGAGGGGGTCGGGCCGAGTGATATACGAGGCAGAAGACACGAACATTACACCTGTCTATGAACCAGCAAGCGGTTATGGGACATTCAAATCGTTTTCTAAGAGTGTCGCGGAACTGGGTTAGCGCCATTTTCGATCAACTATACGTTCGTTCAATGTTGATCATATATTAGACCAAGGGAAACCACGCCAGTCCACTTTTCGCGTCGACTTTGAAACAGCAGATAGCAAACGAAAACCCTCGATTTTTCAGCTCCAATCACCACCACGAACACGTAAACGCACTATGAGCTGTGACAACTTCTCCAAAGCCATCCGTTGTCCAAGGATCACAATCCCTTGCACTCAGGTGGTTCGGAACATTGTCAAGAGCAGATCACCCAGCAGTAGTGCTTCCGAACCTCATTTTGAAATTGTCACGCCGGTTACTTGCAATGTCGACGTCGAGATTGTTGTCGATCGGGACGACGACACGGAGAAGGACATGGTCGTTACTTCGGCGACGCGGATTCGATGTGAGAAGGGTGTTGAAATGACATTGGCACCTCTCGTTTTCCCAGCTTTACCAAGCCCAAGTCCGCCGATTCCAAACTCGGCACCACCGTCGATGGAGACGACAAAGGGGACATTACTGTTTCCTACCGCACGTTCGGATTCCATTCCCGGTCCGGATCCTCCCCCAATGGTCAAAAAGAAACCACGGCCGCTGCCAGTACCTCCTGTAGTGAATGCCCACGCGACGACACGCAAGAAATGTACACGTTCCAAGCGGCTTGCTGGTGTTGATGTGCATCGGGACCTACCACCTCTCCCCACAGCATAGCGTTGATCATCCTGACTTGTGATATGATATCTCTTCCTGTTGTTGGTTCACCGCTGCTACGTGTATGGAGAAGGTCCCAACAGCACCGATCAGATGCCACGCACGTCGATGCGCTACCGGATCGTGAGAGGTGGATGGTGGTGTTGGTGTTGGTAACGAATTTTACGGATGTTTTAGTTGTGTATAGTTAGTTGATGTATGTTACATGTTACAATGTTGTACAACAGGCAATTTCTAAGCTGAGTGTTCATCTTATTGATAATTTACCTCCAAACCTCTTCTTCGCTATGCTGTCCATTTGACCTTTTACATTCCGGAAAGCATTCCACCAAGCCTCTGCTACTCTTCCACTTTGCCGGTAGGCCGGGTCATCATCTTCCTCGTCATAGCCATACTCGAATTGTCTCCAATGCTTTTGGAGCAAGATAAGCCACCATTTCATAACCGCCAATGCTCGTGACAGTCCTTCATCAGTAGCTTCCAAGCTTTTCACCAGCCACTTGCCAAAGAACTCCACATCCTTCTCATTCGGCGGCCAATTTCGATGCCTCTCAACCCACTCCTCTATCACACGCTGTACATCATCCGTTTCATGGAAATACAACCGCTCTCCTCCTTTTCCCTGTTGTTTGAGCATCGGAGGCTGTACGTGATGAGCCTTCGGCGGGGGCTGTATGAACACTTCTCCAGGATCAAGTACCCGTGGTTTTAACACAATCCGCTGACTAGCTTTCATTGGAATGGTACCCATGGTCTTGAGCAGCCGTGCAGCGGTGATTTGTTCTCGCTGAACATTTCGAGGAAGCTGAGCGAAGACCTCAGGGTCTATTTCAAGTTTGCGAAGTTCGTGTTCGGGAACCTTCCAGGCTGCGACGCTTGGCCTCTTCATGAAGATAGTCTTTTTGTTGGGAGACCACGTTGCGCCTCTACTGCGGGGTGCAAGTTGCTGGGTGATGCGTTTGGCATTGACTGGGTTGTCCTTCCGGGGGAATGGAAACGCAGGTCCGTTGCGGGGCTTAGGAGGTGGAAACTGTATGCGAGGGCGAGGTGGAGCGGGCACAACAGCAGGTGCCGGCGTGGCCCGGATTGCAGGCGTCTGGGACCTTGACAGTATGGAAAAGGGCGAAGCCGATCGCTTTTTGTATTCTTCCTCCAATTCCTTCCTAATATCTGCGGGAAGCGCGTCAAATACCGACCTATCGAGCTGAGATAGTGATGGTAAATCGGGTGTCTCCTCTCGCGGTGTGGTCCGCTTCGTAGATATTGCAAATTCGACTTCATGGTCTGCGGTTCCTCCCTTGTCGTGCTGCAAAACACCGATTTCCTGGACTTTCTTCTGGAATGGAAGTCGACCCTGACCTGGTTCCGCAGAGTCGTCCCCGGCAAGGGACTCTAATTTCTGCACCTGAATACCGATCCCACGAAGTTCTTTGGGCTCGAAATTGAAGGCCTTCAACATCCGCCACGCATGCTCTCCGATGACTTTAGGATTACACGTAGCACGGCCGTTAGGTCCCGCTAGTGGCATTTGTTTATTGAAGACTTCACACATTCCGTGGCCAAGGAACTATTGAGACGAGTGGTGTGAGCTCTCCGTTCGACGTCAACCAAAAGCAGGCACCTACCTTCGGTGGTTCTACGGGGGCAGTTGGGTCTCTTTTCATAATCTTCAGAGTAATCGAACGTCCCAAAACCTGTATCTCGTTCATTCTTCTGCTAACTTCATTTGCCATCTGATGAATGAACGTTTCAACCTGGTCGTTGGTCTCAAATCGTATACCATACTACGAAAGCATTAGCACCATTGAACGAAGAAGAGACGTCCACTACCCACATTAATATCACAGGAGACAGACTTCCGCTTCTTATCGCTTTCTAGCTTCCGGTCGTCGATGCCCCGGATTGCGTTATACAGCGTTTCGCCCGTAGTTTTGCCTAAAGCATCGCAGAGTACGCTCTTGCTTTTCAGTGCTAGATCCCCCAACTTCGTTACTCCGAGTTTATCCAATGCTTTTTGCTTCGTCTGGTACCCAAACCCGTGCAAATCTGCGATGTCTAGGGGTTGCATGAAGCTCTCGACGTCTTGGGGTAGTAAATGGAAAGATCCAGCCGGTTTGGCTCGCTTGGTAGCAAGCCGAGCCAGAGAGATATTGTGGGCTACTCCTATACTCACTGAGGGAAATCTAGATCAGTTATTGTTCAATAGCATAAGGAGCTCTAACCTTCACAGCCTGTGG